AAACGTATGAGAGGAGTGATTAAATGGATGAAATTTGATTTTTGTATCTAAATGTTAAATTACTATTTGATTTGATTTATTTTATGTTCACACACATATATATATATATATATATATATATCAAAATTTAATATATTAAAGAGATATTTGAAAGAGATGATTAAATGAGTGAAATATAATTCTTATACTTAAAAGTTACGAGTTTGATTTTACTCATCTTCTCTAAAATAATTTATATACATGGCCAATTTGACTTATTATGTTTCCTAAAGTTATATTGTTGATCTATAGCCTCTAGGGATGGCAATTTCAATCTGCCACACGGATATCCACCTGAATTTACCCCACATGGATCGGATTTTTTTGGGTGATGGGTCGGGGTGGTCTTTAAAAAAAAAAAAATTAACTCGTGATGGATCAGGTTGAATTCAATTTCTATGTACAAAATCCGCCTAGAACCTCATTCGACGACCCACCATGTGTGTGTGTGTGTGTATATATATATATATATATATATATATATATATATATATATATATATATTTATATATAGTAAAATAAGTACTAGTATGTAGTTATTTATAAAAATTTATATAACTTCGCGTATCTTTTTACATATTTAAATCTAAACTACTAAGTTTATCTTTAAAAATTAACAATTTAATTATTTTAGCATCACTAATGAATTGTTTTTTTTTTTTTTTGAATGCTCGAACTCACAACCTCCCATATGGGAGTTCAACCCGAGTGCCATCTGTGCACAAGATGCTTGGCATAAATTTTATTATTTTATTATGTGTAAGTAATTTAAATATTATTTTTTGAAAAAAAATAATAAGATTATAAGTTGTGGGTACCCATAGTGGGTACTCGCACCCGGTGGGGTAGGGATAGGTTTTGAAAAAGTCCACTTGATGCGGGTTGGAGCCTGGAGGTGGGGTGAGTGGAGAAAATATAAAGTGGGTCGAGTGATTGATGTAGCCCTCCCCGACCCACACTCGACCCATTGCCATCCCTAGCCTGCACTAAATTGATATACCTCTGGTTTAAAATTACGAGTCTCATGTGAGTTTGCTTCATGGATTTTTATTTATGATAGGGTCAAGTCATAATAGAAATGTAATAAAATGTAATATTGGTCAAGAATAAATGTTTGTTACTTATATGAAAAAATGTAATATTTTAAAATCAAAATATAATATTTAGAGGTTGAAAAGTTACTTATGAAAAATAAAATGTAATACTAATCATTGATAAATTGTTTAAGTTTTACTTACGAGAGAAAATGTATCACTTATGAGGGAAAATGTGATACTTTTGATAAAAAAAAAATGTAATACATTTTACTTTAAAATCAAAATGTAATATTATGAGTTTAAAAGTTACTTATGATGGTTCTTCAAAATAATAATAATAATAATAATAATAATAATAAAGTTACTTATGATGAAAATTGGTATACTTACATAGAAAAATGTAATACTTATAAAAAACAGACTCATCTCACAGATGAAGATTTGTGAGATAGTCTCATAAGAAATTTTTCTATAGTTTATTGGTTCGCGAAAAGAAATATACAATGAATTTAAATTTCATGAGAAAAGAAAAATGAAGAATTTATATTCCATTGTTTTTTTTTTTTTTTTTTTGGGTAAAAACAACAAAGTATTTCATTTAAAATAAATTTAAATTTCTTGCCCATGTCCACAAAGACAAAACTCCTTGCCTCTAAGGCCTGGCTCAATGTGATAGTGAAGAGGTAAATCACAGTGATTTAGTGACTGACTGGCTCAATGTGATAGTGAAGAGGTAAATCATGGTGATTTAGTGACTTAGTAGGTGGGGGTGACTAATACTTTGTATCCACAAGGAGTCCATTATATTAGGTGTAACTCGCACAGTGTAATTATATTGTTAGGTCTCGATCATGTGTCCTTGCCCATAACCTAATACTCATGAACCAACTCAGCTGCTCGTGCTAGCAGAAACTTAAATTTCTAATAAGTGTATTGGTACTATAACATAACGGCCAGCTAGCTTTGGGCACATCATGATCTTTGAGGCAGGAAACCGGTTACAGTGACCATACATCGTATAAAGTTGGGTACTCCCGCCACCATTATCTCAATCAAAATTAAACATCATTGTTTAATACTGTCACGATTAACTGATAGTCTTGCTCTTATATACTACTTTAAATGCTAGCTATGTAGTGTATATGACCCCAATCTAATTATATATAGTATCACTAAAAATTGAAACGCTAAGAAAATATTCGCTCACCAACAAAACATTCAAATTCACAATTTCAAAGAATTGTTAATTAAGGAAAAGAATATAAATTATTGCGAACCAAACATGTCCATATATGAAAACATGAATAACAAATCATTCTGCACTTATCCATTTAACACTTTTTGATTTACAAAAATGTGATTAAATAACAAACAAATTGTACATATCCTACATATTATAATATATATATAGTTAGGCTTGTGCAGTGGGGCATGCCCATGTTGTTTATGGTTGTGCTTCGTGTACCCCTTGTCGCAGTTTCAAGGAACAAAGTGGTAGAATATTAGTCCTATAAATATCCATCCCCTCCATCTTCACCATACCTTTTCTTACTCCTACAAAGCACTGACAATCAATCAAAATCTCAGCAGAAACAAAGAAGAGAGAGAGAGAGATCAGAGGAATAGAAAAATGCTTCTTTTCTTGAAATCTAGTTCGAAACGGGTCAAAAATGAGAAGGTGCAGGATATTGATGATGACCTGCAGAATAATAAGGAAGTTGCTACTGCATCATCATCATCTACTAGTACTTCTCTTACGGTTTGGAGAAAATCTCTGGTGTTTAGCTGTAATGGTTTCACGGTGATTGGCTCCGACGGCAGCTTGGTCTTTAGGGTGGATAACTATTCCGGCCACCCCCATCAGATCATCCTCATGGATGGCCATGGAAACCCCATTCTCACCATCTGCCGCCATAAGGTAATTAACCATTATATCCACCCCCCCTCTCTCTCTATATATAGCATATGATATTCCCATTAGTCGGATTAGATCCGGGTTACACCTGAGTTTAACTCTTACTCGAAAAAAGTTTAACCCAACTTATAAATTTCTATAAGAGTCAATCTTTAAACTTTGCAATTCCATTAACAGTTTGTTTATCAATTGTCTTAAGCTAGCTGTTCTCACTTATAGCAACTTTTTGGTTGTGTTTAAATAAGTGACGAGAGAAACCCGCATTCATAATTTGATGTTATGTGCTAGGTAAATCCTACCATATGACCCTAGCTTACAAAATATCGCAAAGACATAAATTAGTTTAAGTTGTCTAGACCCGCTAAAAAAGACTATGACACTAGAGCTCAAGTTGTAACCTTGTAGTTACCAGGTCAATAATCTGATTAATTTGTGACATCAGGAGAAGCTGAGACTGGTAGACAACTGGCTAATATATGAAGGGGACATTGAAGGGCACAGTGCAGCGAAGATATCATCAAAGAAGCCCATTTTTTGTGTGAGGAAGCAGAAGAAAATGTTGCAGGGTAATCTCAAGGTTCTGGCACACGTGTACAGAGGGGGGATATCTGACAGGAGGCTGGTGTACGTGATCGAAGGGTCATACGTGCACCGATCGTGTAAGGTGTTTGACGAGTCGAGAAGGATGGTGGTGGCTGAGATAAAGAAGAAGCAATCCACGGTTAGCCATGGCGGCGTGTGCGTTTCTTTTGGTTTAGAGGTTTTTGTTTTGGTTGTTAGGCAGGGGTTTGATTCTGGGTTTGCCATGGCTATGGTTTTGCTGTTGGATCAGATGTTTTCTTAATTGATTTCATTTTCTCTCTTCTTTCTAGATTGCTTTTCTTGGTTGATTGATTGGTTTTTATTTGACTAATCTATAAAGAGAGGAGACAACCTTGGCTTGTCGGTAAATGGTTAAGAATTAAGAATTCAAACATATCGCAATTACGACTATAGATTAGTACGGAGGATTATTTTATCACTTCAAAACTAATGGCATGGTTACTAATTAAAGAAATAATCACGTACTTTAAAAAGAATGTAATAAATTTTATAAGTTTGAATTTTAAACTTAAGAATTTTCATTGCTCGGTCAAAAATGAATGAAAGAGAAAAATGTGGGATTTAATTTGTCAACCAACAAGTTCCGTAATGGTTGTACATTAGTGTTTACAATAAAATCAAATCTATACATTTTTTTTTGTTATTAGTAGGATTCGAACACTGCACTATGTAACTGTTAGTAAAGAAATTTATAAATTTATTTTGTGGTAATAAGTTTAATGGAATACATTTACTTGCCATTTTAAAGTGGGAAAATGGTTTGCAACTTTGCATCTAACTCCAACAATTCTCATCAGTCTCTGACTTTCTTTCATTTAAATTTGTGCTTTAATGTTTGAAAATTGAGTTTCGAAAATGAATTTAAGAAATTAAATAAATAGTCATTTTTATTTTTACTTCATTAAATAAGGACTGAATTAAATAAGTGTACAAATTACCCATATAAAAAAAAAAAAAATCAAACTTCACAACTTTTTAACAACGTTAACGAGTCTTGTCAATTGTATCAACTACAATGCTACAATTTCTTTCAAAAACATAAAAAATAAAAACAAAAACTTCAATGCTACAATTAATGACAATGCTTTAAGAGCATCCACATCAGTGGATATTATGGAGATAATGTTAGATGAATTATCTCGGGTGGGGATAATAACAAGTGTGGAGTGGAGTTATTGGTTGAAATATTTCTCCTGCAAATTCAAGGAGAATGCAGAAAAAGAAGAAAAAGAAAGAGAAGAAAAAGGAGGCTGCTGTGCGCGTTTCGCGCACAGCAGCCCGCCTACACGGGCGCGTGCAAGGCACGCGCCCGTGGGCGTGTCAGGCGCGCCAAACGGCGCGCCTGACTCTTTTTTTTTTTTTAATTTTTTTTTGTTTTTTAATTTTTGATTTTGATTTTTTTGTTTTTTTTTTTTCCTCCCCTTCCCACATTCTCTCTCCTAATCACTCTTACATTATCCCCCTATTCTTCCCAACCATTGTGGATACTCTAACAGGAATCCGAGAATGACATGGCAACAGCTGTTGTCAGAAAATACCTATGCAGTTTAACAGATTACTAAAATTCATAATCAACATGGTTGGCGTGGTAGTTCAACACTTTGTCTCTTATCAAGCATGAAATTGGGGATTCAATTCCCATTCATGTAAATAGAGCAAATTATTTGCCCAGTCCCCTACCAATATAAATATGGAAAAATACTATATGTACCATATTTTCTACTCCTAACTTTTACTTCCACACCAAAAATCTTGATGTAGACATGTGTATTGGACACACATGAAAAAGTAACTTGGTACTCAACACATCATGGAGTAAAATTTAGGAAGTAAGATTTGAGAGTCCATGTAGTAGAGAAAACGACGCTTTTATTCATGAATTGGTTCATTTTTAGCCACATAAATATCCATTGCACTTTTAATCCCTAATATTATATAATTATCAAACCCTATTAACATATGAAGTTATTTTTGTCATTTAAAATTAATATTCACGGTTAAAAATTGCATTCATATAAAGAGAATGAAATTAACATGGATATATGATTTTAAATGACAAAATAACCTCATAAAAAAGAATTTGCTAACATGCAATTATATAACACCAAGGATTGAAAATGCAACTTAATGGATAATTAAAGTACCAAATCTAATTAAATCAACTAACCAGGGCTAAATTTTCAAAATGTAACAATTCATGATGTTTTCCCTAATAATAATAAAATGGTAACACACAGAAGATGACAGGAAAGAGGGAATATGGGAATACAATTTTATCTCTAGTGCAGGAAATTTCTATTCTGATCTGACACCAGTTAACAAATATTGATACAACAGGCCTGTTCTCCTGAAATCAAGAAAGCTACCAACTCCCCCCTTCACACAACAGAATATACAGAACCCTACCAGTTTTGGTGATCTAAAAGTTAAACTGAACAAATCACTTGTGCAACAACAAACTAGATGTTCATGTACCCTGGTGTGTCTTCACTCCATCTTGCTACTTGAATGGTTCCACTCCCCTGATAAAACCTTCCTCGGTTTTTGTTGACTGCTAGAACCCTTGTCCTTCATCCTTGCAGGTGGGGGCATCATATAAAGTTTATCTACAAAGTTGCTATTGTGACCTTTAGTTTCTGCAGTTGCGTCTTTAAAGAATTTGCTAGGAGATGATCTAACTGATCGCGGAGCTGACCAATGCGGTGGTCCCTTTCTATCAAAGTTTCTAGGAACGATTCCATTTCTCTCTGTGCCCAATGATAGCTTAGGCTTTTTTGAGGGAAGTGTGCCATCAGAAACTCTGATCATATTGTCCGATCCCACAACTTTTGGTGCTGCAAATGGTTTTTCAGATTTCTCATTCAACTTCAGCTTTGGAGCTCTCGAGGACTTCTGAGTAGGTTTCTTTATACATTTCACAGTTCCGTTTGTGTTGTGCTTCACTGATTGAGTTGCAATTTCACAGAGTGTCCGTGCAGCAGTCAAACACCTTGGAGACGGTTCATCTGTTAACATCCAGTGTACTCTGTCAGTAAAAATTAAATAAAATTCGCAAAGCTAACATTTTATGACTACTTGTGATGATCTAAAGCCCCATTTAGTACGCAGAAATTGGAATAGAGAGGAATCACGATTTCATCCTCTGATTCCTTTCCTGCATTTGGCTTGTCCATTGTATACATGATTTAGTTATGGCTTCTAAGGAGGAAGTCATATCCATACCATTGTTTTCCATCCCTACATGGAAGGTATAGTGACTCCCTTTTGAAGAAGGAATCAAAATGTATGTTCTTAAGATCAAAGTTCAATTCAATGATATCAATTACTTTGTTCATTTCCATGGTTTACTTGGTTCCAACATGTTGCAATTCATGCACAGCAAACACAACCTAAAGAATCTTTTATAAGGAAGAACAAATGAAGCTTGTTGGCCGACGCGCAATGCAGCAATGAAATGTAACCTATACAAGAATTAACTACTCAATGAATCAATGGCATACAGCAAGAGATGTGATAGAATGAATGCTCCATTAAACATCTAAGTAACTAAAAACCAATGTTGCTAAGCTATCTTGATTTTTAAAGATTTATAGGAAAGATTTAACTCACGAGGTTTAGCACCTAGAAATATACCTGAAGAAACTTGGGAAGTAGAACAAGCTGCAATTGATGAAAAAACTCTTTTACAGGAAGTGGAGCTATCTGGGATCAGTGGGGCATTTCCTTTATCCGAAGGGCAAGATGTTTGACCTCCAGAAGGAACTAGACTCTGATTTCCACTTTCTGTAGGCCCCATATTTTGACCTCCAGAAGAATGTAGGATCTGGTTTCCACTTTCTGGATGCCCAGACGGTTGACTTCCTGATGGAACTAGACTATGATCATAAGTGAGAGATTGCAAGTCCACCGCAAAACTAGGGCACCCTTCTTGAGTAGAGGTGTTTTTCATCCTTGCCCATTTAGCTTGGCAAGTTGTCCTACTTGTAGCTAGTTTAGCAGCATCAGGCCCAGATTTGTGGTTCCCAGAACACCCATGTGACCAAGGAAAAGGTACCAATCCAGTTCGCTGAGACGCTGGCTTGCCCAAACGAGGATCGGGGGTGTTTCTTGAAGATGTAGGCTTGGTTGCATCGAGAAGCAAAGCATCCAAATCCTTTGATGGAGGAAGTGCAATGCGTTTCAAAATATCCACGGGTTTGTATAGCGGAGGATCATCACTTGTTTCAGCTGTTTTAAGCTCACCACCAGCTTCCTGTAATAGAGAATTTGCAGGTATGATAACTAATGATAGGTAACTTTAACCAAAGAAAATAATGTCAGATACAAACACTTGCACATGATAATTAGAGAATTACCCCAAAAATTAAGAATGTAGTTAAACAAATTGCAGATGAGGGTATTGGGTAATAAATTTGGTGCCAGACTACTGCAACATAGTTGCACAAGCAGCCACGTATCCAATGAAGGTCACACTAAGAATATGAATTATGTTAGCGTGTACTTCTAACATTTCATAGAACTCTAAAATTTAGTTCCACTTCTAACATGTCACACAGCTCTCTAAAATTCCAGTGAAACCATAATACAGAGCAATGAGAATTATAACCTGAATCTTATTGCAACACCAGTTATTTAGGCGGTGAATATTCCAAAAGATGCACAGTACTGTAGCAGGGGTGCCCAAATGGTGGTTGGTAAATTTCTTATTCAGAAGTAACCTAGTGGATCTTATTACACCACCAGTTAAAGAAGCAGTTAACATGCTAAAATATACACAATAGCATAGCTAGTATACAAGCAAGAAGGTTGGATAACTTATCTTGAACAAAGTGGGTCATATAAACCTCTCCCCTGTTTTCAGAAAACTAAAAAAGCATTCTTTCCTGTAACTGCTTCTCATATAAAAGTAAAGATGTCTCAGCTGGGTAGTAAAACTGACCTTATCATTGGAAGATAAATTTGAAGTGCTGGCATCTCCTTTTCTACCATCAGTTTCAATTGCTGAAGAAGACCCAGTATGCTTGGGCTCAGTAATCTTATCATCATCATCTGAGCAACTCCTAGCCTGTACAGGCCTCTGAAGTAGAGAGCAAGCATTTCGAACCACATGCAGAAGACTTTCATTTGAGTTCAAGGTCTTCTTTTCCTTGTCTTTGGTGAAAAGAGGACTCTTATAACTGCCATCAAGGAGTTCATTCAAAGGTATGTCCTCCACAGTTTCAGCAACATCCAAAGCGTCAGATTTCAAACCATAAAGTCCTGAATTACACTTATTATGTGAGATCATATGGTAGATTCACATTAATACAGTCCAATTATGTATTCTTCACCAGAGTTCAAGACAATCTGATCAACACTGTGAATTCATATTTGAAAGACGATACCTAATACAGCTGAGAAATGCAGAATTGGGATGATACATCTTATACTAAGAACCTCATCCCTAAACTTAAGAGCTCAAGCCTATTGGCTATTATTTTTCATTACTAAAATTGGTATAGAAATACACTCCATAGGGCATCATGTTTACCATCAATGCAAAGTTCATGTAAAAATTGTCAAGTTGAACATACTCAATGAGGTAGATCTTTGTTCCACCAATTGAACACACAATAAAAAGGAGCCAATTGCTAAAAACTAGCGTGAAAGAAGATATTGTTGCAGACAAATCTTTAAGCAACGAAATATCCACTTTTCTTCTTTGGGGAACGCAAAATAGAGACCTTCTTCAAAAGGAGAATAACTTATCCATTGTGAATTCTCTTGTAAATATTATTTCTACTTAACTAAACCAGAAGTTATAAACTTCTTCATTTCAAAAGCCTTAAAAAAGAAATTGTTTTTCACCCCATTATGGGAGCTGCCTGTTTTTGAGTGAACCTTTTTCTGATCAAACCTAACCAGGTTCAGCCATCCAAATGAAATCACATTTGTAGATTTTTCTTTTCCTTTATCTATCAGTATGTGTTATTATGACACTAAATATACACATTCTATAAAAGCGACTCATGTAAAAGTTCATGGTCCCCTACTTGGCCTCAAGTTTTATCTTGAACATTACTGTTCTTGAATTTATAACCACAAAAGGAAATGTCAGAGTGCCTCCTCTCAATGAACTAATCAAGTATGATGACCAACAGTCATATATATGTGGGATTCTTACAGACATTTAATTGTTTATTAACTGCTAGCAAACAGAATATGTTAATTGCTGTACCTGACAATAAAATTTTATTTTTGAAACCCCTCTTCCCCAGGGTTCAAAGAAGAAAATAGGAAAGACAAAACTACCACCAGGTCAATGAAGCCCACAAAATATTTTTTTCCAGGCAGAATGGACTAGGGGCCAGAGATGAGGTGGCCATAAGGAATGGGCTGAAGCAAAGCGATTAAGGTTTATGCCATATAGTAAAACACCAGAACCAACATTCACCAGAGAGGGTGTGGAGCAAGAGTAATATTCAAGTTCAGGCTCAATTAAATATTTTA